TTGTTTCGCACGCGCGTGAAAGGAAAATGTCGACCGCGCCCCCGCGCTGCACATCCTGAGCGAATTTCCGTTTTGCGCTGTGTAGTATAGCGCTAGTACGCGTTACTCTGCTGCTGTTGCTACTTCTACCTACTACTACTACGTTGGCTACATCTAGAGCTCAGAGAGAAGAGAGCATCTGAGCTCGCGCCCCCGCCGCCTCTCCCTCTGCTACTGCTGCTGCTGCTGCTGTAGCATGCGAAATCCCTGTGTGCGCGAGCGAGAGAGGAAACGTTGTTCTGGATGTTGAGTCGAGCGTGAGAGAATTTCAAGAAGGAGAAATGCTCTTACACGTTAGATTGTATATATAATGTTTGTTGGGTCGCTCTCTCCGCGCGCCAATGTTTTCATAGAATTCAAGCAGCTTAAGGATCTGATGTTGCCTGCATTACTCCTATATAGACTCCTACTACTATGGCAGAGCTACCTGTATTCGTATTAGCAAGCTCGTACGTACGTACGTACTCTCGAACTCGCCTTTGTTTATTTTATGTTATAACTTTCGACCGGTGACAGCTGCAGCAGAAAAATACACCTGTGGCCAAATCCAAATGACGAATCAAAGTCACGAGTATATTTAAGCGCAGAGAACTACCTCGCCGAATAATTCATGAGATTATCAATGCGTAATACATTAAATGATGATCGATATTAATTGTGGCGATAATCATTAAAATTGATACTCGATATACATATGCTTTGGAACATAGATAAGTGCAGTATGTATATCCTGTACCGAGTGTACGAGCTGAAATTAGTTTCGAGCTGTATTTTCCCTGCATATATATAACTTATTATTATATTCCCTATGTGCATAATGTATTAGATTATTTTGTCGTAAAAATAAACGCTCGCTTGCACGAGGGAGGAAAAAAATATTTACAGCAGTCTTTGCAGCGTGAAAAAATTAAATCAAACAATGGCAATTTTTTATCGATGGACTTGGCTCTCCGCGGCAGTTTATTTATGAAAAAAAAAACGCGCCACGCTGGACCGTGGAGCTAGAAAGGGGTTATTTGATTATTTTCCATTGGCACAAGGAGGCAAGCGGTGGCGCAACAAAAATATAAACTGCGTCGATGGACACGTCACAAGCCGTGTGCTTGAAAAAATAATCATAGCATTACTCTCGCTTATACGGCTTTTGTTGAGCGCGCGTGAAATTTTTATAAGTCGCACTTGCTTTGGCCTCTCGTATATGTAATCATCTCGGGTGCTCGAGAATCACAAGAGGATCAATTTTTCAAGTAGTTCATCGGTGTGTGTATATAGTATACGTATATACCGTGTGCACCGAATCCCAAAGTCAAGAGAGAAAAGATAAAGTAAATGCACGCGAACGGATGCAAGAAGAAAGCGAAAAAAAAGAGAGAGAAGAGGGCAAGAAAATAACAGTCCGATAAAAAGGGCTCGTGGATTTTAAACTCCGTGGCAGCGGCACACAATATACAGTTATAACTATAAAAATAAAACGTAAATGATGTGACATTGATTTCTTACCCTTTTATTTCAATATAACTTTTTTATATTCGCTATATTTTCATTTCTTACCATGATAATAAAATTATACGAAGGAATGAAAAGCAGCAAGCTTTCACGAGCGCGAATTTAGTAATTAGAAAAAAAATTGCAAGAAGTAAATTGACACGCTCTCGCTGATGATCAGCCGAAAACCGAACTGAACTCGTGCAAGCTGTCAATTTTTTTTTGGCCCGTCACCTGTAATAGCCACGGCGTCCCGCGTTGGCGCGTCGTAATAATCGTCGAGCGCAATTTTAATTGATCGGCGTCGAAGCGCGCGCGATCATGGCCATAATTAAAACTAACGAGAAATTGTAGACTGTGTCGCCAGGCTCTAAACTCGCGCGTCTAAAAGCACGACTGTGCTCATAGTCGTTCGTTGCTCTTCTCGCGCGCATTTGTACGCGTATATATCCCATGCGCCTAACAGCTGCATTTTACTGCTCCAACAAACCTCATCATTTCCACGCGCGATCCACAAATCCTCAATTTTCATTTCTAACCACGTCGTACGCTATGTATACGTGTGTACGCATGTGTGCACGTGTATAATTATAATCGATAGTTATGAGATACAGAGAGAGAATATATACGCAACATCGAGTGTATCATCATTATGTATTATACCTTTGCCCGAGCTTTTGGTATTGTTGAGTGGAATAACTTACACAGAGAGAGAGCAGAGTCAGCCCACACACGTCGAAATTTCTCCATTGCTAGATAATATAATATAAAGTTGGCAACAATCCTTCTTAAGGCAGCGGTAGCTAGTCGACTTTGGGGCACTCCGACGTCGTCTTCGTCGTCTATACACGTGCGATATGCACGTCTCAATGCGCTTTCTTCGTTTCGCGGTTTATCTTTTGTCTGTTTGACTGTATATTCGCACGTGTAGGTTATATATAGCGAAGGAAGCGAGCGCGAGAAAGAGAAGAAGAAAGCTCGGGAGAGAGCCAAGACGAGAGGCAAAGAATTTATTAAAGACGGGCTTTCGGCTGTTGTGCGGCGCGCCCGCTATAGCATGATGAAAGTCAGGCAAAAGTTCGAGCGGATGACTGGGAAGATTCTGCAGCTCGCGCGACTTTTAACGACCGCTGTATCATATATTAAATGCGTCTGTGGGGGCGAAAAGTCCTGATTGCAGCCGTGTGCGCGTATATGTAGTATGTATGCGTGGTAGCTGTATACGAGCCTACGCTTCTTGAAAAACGCATTAAGATGTATGTATTCCTCGTTCGTCTGCAAACTGTCTCGCTCTCTCCTTCGCGCGACTTTTCTCGCTCGCTCTATGTATATATCTTGTTTTAAGTTTCGTGTACGAGTCGTGTGCCGCCTGCTGGGATTAATAGAGAGCAACAGCAGTAGCAGCAGCAGCATGCGTGCACCTACACACACTCGCGCAGCAGCAACGAGTCCGACAAACGTATAATTATCTATCCCTTGTTTAATTTATGCGCTCGCGGCATTCGAGAGATTTTATTATATTAAAAAATAGCGCAGCGCAGCGCACACGATTTCGCGCACGAAAATTACACGCGCGGCTCTACTTTGCATTGAAATTTTGGCTCAAATAGGAAATCAAATAGGATAAGATCACAGAGTAACCTACATAATTTGAAGTCATTAGATACGGTCCAATAACGTGGATGTATAATTTCAAAAGCATTGAAAGCGCGAACGCGAGCGCCGCGAGTGAATCAGGACCCTTGAAAACACTGCGTATTAATTAATTAATGTTTCATTTGAAATAATGAAATTATAATCATACACGCGCTGAATTATGAATGTCTCGCTTTTCAGCAGCGAGGGCTGGCCAAATTTTCCATTATTTTCTTCATCAATTTTCGAAACTTTCGTCGTATGACGTGAATAACAAAATCAAAAAGTTACGACAATGCTCTGCTTGATGACGAAATCAAAAAACAACAATTAATTCAGCTATTTGACGCGACGCCCTCGCTCTGCGGCTGGCTAAATGAACTGTCGACTCCTCTGTACAGAGTCCTATCCCCCATCCATAAAAAAACGAGTATCGAGGTAAAATTGTTGAAAAAAAAATCGCAAAGAAAAAACAAGCGAGCGACGTCGGTGGCGTTGGCGTCGGCGGCAACAGCAGCAACAAAGTGAAGTCTGGAGCGAGCAAGAGAACCTTTGTACTATGTGTGCAGCGAGACAACAACAAGCCGTATCAGAAGCCGCTTGCGGAAAAGCACTGCTTCCCACGCGCCCGCGCGATAAATCCATTAATCCCTTCGTCCCTCTTTTTCCTCTGGGCTGGCGGCGCGCGACTCATCCCTCGCCTATATAGACTTTTCTCAACGCGGCTTATTCGTCGCTAGAAATGAAACTTTGACGCCTGATTTCGCGCGACTGCTCCCAGGGAATATAAAAACAATTACGACGCTGGAAAAATTATTCATTAAGAGACGTGCGCGAGCGAGCTTAATTAAAAATCCCATCGCACATGCACGTACTTGGTAGGTACATTGTATAGCCGAATTCGTCGTCGCCAGCACACCCGAAGCTGGTACTTGGGCGACAGTTGCGCAAATGTAATTTTGCCCGAACAGCTCGTCTTACTGCAGCAGCTTGGTCTAGGACACCGTTAGAAATAAATACGAGAGACAACTATGTGTGTAGTATTGTAAAGTCGAACGTATACGGGAAGTACCTACGCGTGACACAAGACCATCAAGAAGACGTATCACCTCGTTCGCCGCTGGAAATGCCACGCCAGGACTGAAGAGATCACGTTCTCGAGGCTCGTAAAACACGCGGCTAGGAAAGATCATCGCTTTCGAATGTGGATACCTCTCTTTCTTTTTTTAAATGAAAAAGTTGAGAAAAATCTCTATCGTCTAGTCTCGTGTCGATACTCACAATTAAGTGAATGAATCGATATATTAGCCGTGTCGACGAACTCTGACAAAATTGGCAAATTCCGAACAGGGTATCGTCCGTATAAGAAAATTTAGTCTAATAAATTTTCATGGGAATCCGTTTCCTAGTTAATAAGGGCCAGCTTAAATTATTGGAAATTTTCCGTAGAGAAGCCCGTAGAAGAGGCTCTAAAATACACGACGTAATGACATCATTGGTCGTATTTGTGACATGGCCGTACGTATATTTGCGAGAGATAATCATGTAGAAAAGAAGCCCAAAGAACAGCAGCAGCAGTGGCAGCAGTAGCGGCAGCAGCAGCAGTAATAATCGGCACGCGAGAGAGAGAGAGACTGGGAGGAGGGAGGAGGACTCGAGTCAACTTCTCTTAGAATAGGGCGCAATGTTATAATACGCGTGCGCGGCAGCTGCTGCTGCTGTAGGGAGCCCCGGGACGCAGCAGCAGCAGCAGCAGCAGCGGCGGTGGCGGCAAACGGCAGGGGGTTACTACTGGGGCGCGGGCGCGAGCCAGTCTGCCAAAGCTTCGAGCCGAACAACAGGGGATAGAGATCGAGCCGAGCGAGCGAGAGAGAGAGGAGTGAGTGAGCTTCGCCCGGGTTCGCTTATAACATACATACACTTGCCTCTCTCTTCTTGCCTCTATCACTTACCTATTTTACCTTCTCTTCTCCATATCTGACTCTTTGACAACAACGAGGCAATCAATCTGCAACAACAACAACAACAACAACGATAGCGACAACAACAACAACAACAACAGCTAGAAATGTAAATGTTGCTCGTGTAAAAAAAAGTGTGCTAGTGTGTCGATTTGCGTACATCCATCAACCGGTCGTGGAAATTTTTTTTGTTTCCTCGGCCGGCGTAAAGTGCGTGCGAAGACGAGATCAAAAGTTGATTCTCGAAAAGTTGATGGTGCGAGATAATAATGACGTGATCATGTGCACTCGGGTCATTCAACGATAACGCATACGACGTCGACGACAACAACAGCGACAGTAGTAGTAGTGGCATCGCTACGTCACGATGATCCATCATTATAGTTGTTATCTTGGGATGAATGGGCCAGTGCCACTGCTACTCGCACTCGTACGATTGCTCTGAGATATGTCAAGTGCTCCGTGAGACAAGACGACGACGACGACGACGAGCCGAAGAAAAGAAGCTTAAAAGAAAGAAGGAGCTGGAAAAGTGCGCGTGAGCGAGTGTGAGTGAGAAAGAGAAGAGATAGAGAGAGAAGCAAGAAAGAGGTAAAATGAGAAGAGGATGAGAACGTCATCGTGCGTTAATTACTACGTGCTCTGCCTCGTATGCTGGGTTCTGCTCGGCATTACCGGTAAGCATTTCCACCTATATACATTCGATCGCTTACCTACTTCTCTTTCTATTTTTTGGGGGAGGGTTTTTTCATTCAGCCTCGCCACAGATCCGAGAAATTATTTTCCGTACGCGCGCGCGATCCGTTGGAGAGCGACGTGCCGCCCGCACGCGCCAAGCTCTATGTATATCTCGAGGAGCGACACTTTATTGCCAATTGGCCGAGGTCCGCTCGGCCTGCCAAATAGATCCTCGATCGCGATATCCTTCGAGCAAGCCTTACCGGTCTCTCTTTTTCGCGTTTGCATGCGATACGCGCGTAAGAAGAGAGGTATCGTCGCTCGGGATGTGGTCGAGCAACAGCGGCACACACATACTTACACGGGACGATATGAAAAGTCATCGCTTAGCGAACGAGAGCTTGAGAGCCGTACGTACTCGCAGATGGAGAAAGAGGGGGGCGTAGTCTCTTGGCGATTCTCCGAGATTTGTTTTCCTTGCATGCATGTAGATGTATGTGTATGTAAGTAAGTGCAGCGACGCAGCTGCTGCTGCTTCCATTGCTACAACATGTAATCGCTCATACATACGTAGCTATAGGTCGTGGCTGCGGCGCAGAACGAGAGAAAGAGAGCTAGTCATATAGGGAATCGAGAGAAAAGAGAAAAGTGCATCCAAACGCGCGCGGAGGATTCACCGCTCCCTAAGTGGAGCGATCGATCTCACTCTTCTCTCGAACATACACATACACTGCGGCTCTCTCACGCACTTACTCGCACTCGAGCATACAGACACATACACACACATACCTATACACGTAAACTCGCACATATTCCCGTACCTATGGATGCTATATGTGCGTTCTATGCAAGAGAGAGTGATGCTGCCGCTGCTACAGGCTACTCCTTCGGGGATATGTGATACGAATTGGATTTAGTACTGTATTAGGGATTCTGCAACTATACAGCGAGCGAGAGAGAGATGCTTTTGATCTGCACTAGATTGATGGAGTTAAGATTTACAAAGTCTATCCTAACTCATCTCCTCGCAACTTTGTACGTACGCATTTGTATTCGTAAATGGCAATGGGAAATCTATGCTCTCTCCCTCTCTTATACTTTCTTCCCTCTCAAAATTAACATTGCAAATCAACTGCGTTAATCCTCTTTGCTATCTTATATTGAATTTCGCCGGTATCTAAAGTATTATCACAATAGAAGGAGGCTGTGTTGCGAGCAGTATAAAGAGGGCTACAGCGCAGTAGCGAAGCTAGGCACAACCCGCGTATATACGGCCAAATAATCCGCTTACAATAACGCGGGCCGTTTGGAAGAAACATATTTACTGTACACAATACCGAAACAGGCGCCTATATTCTAGTGTTTGTATACGCCTATATGTATATGGGCACGAGCTCGAGCTACACATAGAAAATCATCGGGCCGTTTCGAGATAGGTGGGGTGGGAGAATAACATTTGCAGCGAAAAACGGAGCAGCAGCAGCGAGGGAGAGAGGAACAACTGACTAACGCGATTTTTGGTGGATTTTCAATAATCAAGTCGTGCCCTCTCGTTGTTCGCAGCTCCGTGCCACAGCAGCAGCGTCATATATTGTGCAATAGTCGCTCGCGATACCTAGAACAAAGAGTTTATAGAGAGGGACTCGTCAATGCTTTTCCCGCTGCTGCTGCTGCTTTGCACTGCTTTTCGAGGCCAAAAAGTCGATATTCTCTCTCGCTCGCTATGCACGCGCGTGCATCCTAAAAATGCAACGTTTCACCGCATACACGCGCCGCTATAACGGAGCAAGCTCGTATAATACATGTACCCACACACACGCGCCTGGCTTGATTGAATTATACGGCCTGCGGAATTGCTGGCAGGCCGCGTGTGCTTTACGCTATGGCCTTTTTTTCTTCTCCCTCCTCCTCTTCCTGCCGCTATAAGACGCGATTTTCGATTTATCAGTGACTCATTTTCCGATTCTTAAATACTGTGTAATCTCTCTCATCCAACGGGGCAATTCTTTTTCTTCTGTTTTGCGATCGTCGAGCTTTTATAATGAAAAAAAGTCAATTGCAACTGCATGAGCTCGTCGAATATATGGACTGCATTTATGCAGAGGCTATAGTTTGCCGCTGCTTATTAGCTGCAATTTAAACCTAATCAAGTAGCAAATTTTCTGCTAAATTTGACTTTTTAAATGGCTATTTAGTATTTTATGTTTTACGAGCGGCCGAGATTAAACTTCGTTAATTTAGCTACAGCAAATTGTCGAGCCCAGTTATTATTTACATGGTTAAATACACGATGGGCCACGATTTCCGGCTGAAATAATGAGAAAAACTTGTTAACAAAATATCTCATCGATAGCGTAAAAAATATCACGTCACGGTTTAATGTTCGTAGGTGTTTCTTTTTTGTTCACCGGCTCGTGCAACGCACGCACCTCAAGTACTCGACTTTAATTACACAGCTTGAAAATGTTTGCTTTAAGCGTTCGCGCACATAAAGACGACCATTCATCTGGTGTGTCTTTAAAGCTCGAGCAAGAGTTTAATGCGCCAAGACTCGGCCCGTATAAAGACGCGTCTATAGACTCTTTTTCGGTTTTTGAACGGCAAAGCCTCGTGCGAGAGTTCGATATCTCCCTATACAATTAGTAGATTATATCTTTGTACGGGGCGAGCTACCCAAAGCTCTATTTCTCTCTCTTTTGGCCAAACTAGTGTGGCGCGTTACATAAATTATGCCATCTACCCGCCATTCGCAGTGATTCATCCGCTCGGCTGTGAAAGAGAGAGAGAGAGAGAGAGGGAGCTTTTTTTCCAGGTCACATGGAATGATATTAAACTATGAATTTATAAAGTCATGCCAAAATTCGCGCAGCCGTATATGTACCCATAGAGCCATGAATTTTCAATTTTCCAATTCTTCTTTTCTCTTTCTCTTACTACATATTTCTCGCACGCGAAACTTATACACGTGAAATCTTGCCTTCTCCCCCCGCAAACTTTTTTCTGCTCGCTCTGGCGCGTCCGAGCGTCGAGGCAGTTATAGTGCAGTAGAAGCAGCAGCAGCAGCAGCGCATCGAATGAAATAAACGTCTTAAAAATGCGACGTCTTCGTAGGTCAACAGGCTTCGCACTGTGCCACTCGAGCTCGGCAGTATACTATACATATATACACATCGACAGTTTGATAATTGTCCAGCCTATATATCTCCGGCAACTGCTCTTTGGGGACTTTGCAGCAGCAGCAGCAGAGAGTGTGCAGCGCACAGTACTAGTACAGCAGTATATACAGCGAGTTATACTCACGGGTCGAGCCGCAGACTAGCACTCGCACATATACACACACAAAGGATAGAGAGAGGAGGAGGAAACTGGAATGGCATTTCTCGCGCGCGCCACTCGCATCTAGGCAGCGCTTGGCCTAATTTGTCGAGTGCACACAGTCAGTTATAGACACTTTTTGCATCGCACCGCTAACACCACTGCCACCGCGCCGCCAACTGCAAAAGCAATTCGATTTTCCGCGTGACGAGCGCACCGCTGCTCTAACTCTCTATAGACCAACTCTCGACCTATACCGACACACACTCGCATTCGCACACATGCACATTTATATCGTTTTGCTTACTTGCACTTGTATACGTACATATTATTAGGTCCACTGGCCTCTGTGTACTACTAAGGAAAAGCTTAAATGAATGTACGAGGCGGTGTAATTCCACGACGGGCGAGGATCTATTGTTGTCGATTGTGTAAATTAAAATCACGCGTCGGGGGCAAAGTGTTGCTCTCTCTCTCTCCTACACGCGTCGACGCATCGAGACACGCATATCGCGCAGGGACAAAAATCGATAAATATTTAATGAAGTAGAGACTTCTCCAAGTCGTGCATCTCATTGGAAATTCATTGCTTTTCCCAGCCGCGCGCGCGCGTGCACTGCCAATCGTTGAATGGCAAAGAAAACATCGCGTCAGCCGGAGGTTTAAAACGCCCGTGACGTACGTATACGCCAGTCGATCTTTTACGTTATATTATTCAACTCGGCTTGTACATATACGTATAGTACTCCAACGCGCTATATCGCTATAGAATTGGAAAAAAAGACATTCGCAGCTGCAGGTAAAATTTGATTTTGTCGCGAGATATGCGAGAAAAAAATCGCTTTTTATTCGGCGCGCTACGGAGAGCCCACTGTGGGTGCGCACTTGGCGAGGCCGCTACAATAAAAATCTAATCGCGCGATAGCGATGATTTACAAAAAGCACGCACGCACTAAATAAGACGGGATAATAGCTCGAGGGGAACGAGACACGAAAAATTGGAGGCTGCAAAATAAAGCGCAGGAAATCACAGAGGATATACAGTATCTCTTTCGTATAATGATATAAATAGCTGCGAAAAACCAGCTGGGGGGTACACACAGCGAGTTCGGTCGGTTGTAACGGAGGCAGCAGCAGCGACTGTTATTATTACAAAAAAAAAGAAAAAAAAAGAAAAAGAAAAACGAGAGAAAGTGGAAAATTGTCACGATGTGTACACTGGGGAGTGTATATAGCCTCTTTCTCTCTTTGTTTTCTCACGAGACGAAGACGTTTTAATTACTTTCTTCGTTCGAGAGTATAGCTACACAGCAGCAGCAGTAGCAGCAGCCGCGCGAGCTGTTATTATAGTGGCGGTGCAGCAGCAGCCTATCTATACAGTCCCCCAGTGTAATTATTATACACCAACGAGTATTTAATTGTCTCCCGATGAGCGAGAATATTATCGAAAACAAGCCGGTTTGACACAAATTCGTTGTTAGCTCGGGCGCGGAGCGATGGCCGGAACAAATGAAATTCAAATCTGCCCTTAACAAGCATGCGAAAAGCTGTTTTTTATAGCGGCAGCAACGACAACAGTCGAAGGGTAAAAATCCTCGAGTAATGACTGGCCTCTCCGGGAGCGTCGCCCCCCTTTTTTCTATTGCGCTGCTACACGCGAGCGAACGAGTGTATTTACCGAGAC